TGTCCTTATAGTAGAACGATTTATAGTCCTTTGGATATATACCCAGTAATGGGATTGCTGAAGCCTCACAGCATTTGATGAGGAAAGTGCTACTATGACCTCCATTTTAGAAATGGAAAACCTGAGGCTCAGAGAGAACATGTGATGTTCCCAGCTCGTAAGAGGGGAACCGATGACTCCAACCTGGGATTCTGATCCCAGACACGGCCACCATTCAGTCACTCATAGCATATCCACAGTTCTTCTTCTTTTTTTTCTGAGACAGAGCCTCGCTCTGATGCTCAGGCTAGAGTGCAGTGGTACAATCTCTGCTCACTGCAACCTCCACCTCCCAGGTTCAAGGGATTCTCCTGGCTCAGCCTCTTCAAGAGCTGGGATTACAGGTGCCTGCCACCACACCTGGCTAATTTTCATATTTTTAGTAGAGATAGGGTTTTACCATGTTGGTCAGGCTGGTCTCGATCCACCCACCTCTGCCTCCCAAAGTGCTGGGATTATCCACACTTCATTACAGAGTGCCAGCTGATAGGCTTCTAGATATGCCTGGACTGGGTGGACTCTATTAATTATCACAGTCAATAATGCTGTGACCTACATAGGACGAAAGCAGAGTGAGCACTCTTCCTCCAGGCCCTGCAGAATCTGTCTCCTGAGGCCAGCTGCCCTCCAGGTACCTGCATGTGGCCTAAGTGTTCACAGCAGTTCTGTCACTTGCAGTTCCTTTATCAGTTTCACCTGGCCCATCACACTCGCCTGGGGCCAAGGCTGCTGTCTGGGGCATCTCTCTGTGACTGACAGGTCTGATTCTGGATGCTCAAGAAGGAGGTGCAGAATGGAAGAATTATGAGGAGCGGAGGCAGCGGGGGCCCCTCTCTCCAGTCTGGTTCCCCTGTGGCCTCCAGCCTGACACTGCCTTCTGTCTACACAGACCTTTCTTCTCCCTTTTGTCTGCTTTGTGACAGTTAATAAACCAAACCATCACTGCCTTCTTAGCCTGCAGGAAGTTTAACTACTGTTATCTACCACAAACCACCGAAGCCTTAAATTGCAGTAGAAATGGTGACGGTGATAGATTAGGATTTTTAAAATCAAAACTAAACATGTTCCCGTTATGGTTAAGAGAAGGGCTGAGTTGACTTGAAAATAATGTACTTAGGAAATGCTGCGGTGTGTGCTAAACGAAGTCTCTCCCTCAGCACTTCCTCCCTCTCCTGCAGCAGAGTGTTAGTCTACCTAATTGATTCCCAAAGATCTCCCACCACGACCTCAAACTATTCCCACTGTGGGGAGATTGATGGAATCCTGGATTTCATCCAAGGCCAGGATGGACAGTTCATGTCGAATTTTAAAAGGGGTGGAGTGGGAAGATGGATTTGGAATCAAATGGTCCTTTTTCTCCAGCCTTGGAAGATGGAACTGAAGAACAAGGAGAAAATCATCAGTGACAACACTTAATGCATTTTAAATACTTATTACAAGAAAAATTAATTTGTAAAATTAGCCCCATAGATACAATGTCTCCTCAAAAGTGCAAAACTCAGAGCAACTAATGCATCTCAAACTTGCTGCTGCACAGCCAAGTCGCAAGGTCATGTTCACGTTTGAGCACTAGTAAGTGGGGCAGGAGCCTTCCCTCAGCCCCAGAGACTGTGCTGAGCACATCACAAATACTACCCCAGTAATTCTCTCTAACACTACGGTTATTTGATAAACGTCTACATATACGCACTGGGTGAGAACACCCACCCCTCCAATGCTGTCCTGAGAAGCGAATACTGAGTGAACAGAAGTTTCTTTGCAAGCCCCGATGAACAAGGAGCGCTGGCGCCTTGCAGCAATTGCTGTCTTACCACCCCCCTTGCTAGTGGGGGAGAGGTGGCCCAGGCTGCCCACACTGACACAGTGAGGTCAGGCCAGGTCCGTGCTGCCCGGGCCTCAGCTCTTTAATTCCCCTTCCTCAGTAGATGAGAGCTTGGAGGCCAGTCACGTGACAGGCAAAGCCCATCCACATGCGAGGGGGGTGTCATCTGTGAAGGTGCATCTGCGGGAAGCGCCAGGGCTCTCCCAGGGCGAGGCCAGCTGAATGTTGCCTCAGCCTCCTCCCCAGCTCAAGTGTTACAGAGCCCTCCTGACTGGTCCCTGTGTCCTGCCTCCACCTTGTCTCTGTCCTTGGGACGGCCCTGGGACTCTCAGACTTCTGCTCACACTCGGCCATGTGGCCCTGGGCTTCGGCTTCCTGTAGCCGACCTGGCATCTCACCTCTGTCCTCCACGTCCTGGGCCCGCACTGCCTTCCTGGCATCAGGGCTGACAGACAGGGAGGCAGCACAGCACAGAGAGGGTGAGAAGTGCCTGTGGGAACAAGAACTTCATGCCTGTGTTCAAGTCCCAGACGCTTCACTTTCTAGCCTCAAGTGTCCCCCAACACGGGTTACTTACTGAGCCACCATCTTCCCAGCTGTAAAGTCAAGAGAAGGGCTGGCAGGAGGCACATTGGTTATGAGTGCAGATACCGCTTGGGCCCAATTCCTGGTTCTGCCACTTCCTGTGTGACCTAGAGCAAGTTACTTAAACTCCCAGTGCTAAGAATTCCCATCAATAAAATTCTAACAATAGCAGTAAACTCACTGGGTCCCATACTCCCTACATAGATTAAGCTCTCTAGAAGAGCCAGTGTTCAGTCTTAGGAAGACACAGGTGAATGGGAAGTCTGAATAGGAAGCTGCTCGTGGAAGAGCCTCGCATGGTATCTGGTCTGAATAGGAAGCTGCTCATGAAGAGCCTCGCATGGTATCTGGTCTGAATAGGAAGCTGCTCATGGAAGAGCCTCGCATGGTATCTGGTCTGAATAGGAAGGTATCTGAATAGGAAGCTGCTCATGGAAAAGCCTCGCGTGGTATCTGGTCTGAATAGGAAGCTGCTCATGGAAGAGCCTCGCATGGTATCTGGTCTGAATAGGAAGCTGCTCATGGAAGAGCCTCGCGTGGTATCTGAATAGGAAGCTGCTCATGGAAAAGCCTCGCGTGGTATCTGGTCTGAATAGGAAGCTGCTCATGGAAGAGCCTCACGTGGTATCTGGTCTGAATAGGAAGCTGCTCATGGAAGAGCCTCGCGTGGTATCTGGTCTGAATAGGAAGCTGCTCGTGGAAGAGCCTCGCGTGGTATCTGGCACACAACAGGTACCTAACACACATTCTAAACAGAGGGTACAGAATTCAGCCTTTCAGCACCTGCTTTCACCTTATCCGACACAAAACAACACCAGGGGTCAAAAAGTACCTGAGAACAACAGCCAAGGGGGTTGGGAGCAGTGAGAAGCTCCATCTCACAGTCACATAAATGAACCACTGGCTGAGAAAGCTTCTCCTCTGAGCCCAGCATCAGCTCCCTAGGAAAAAACCATGGAGAACCAGCCCTCCTGCCTGCCCTACCCACACACCTGCCAGGCCTGGTCAGCCAGGACCACTGGGAATGCCTCAGCCTCCTGCGTTTCTTCATAATCCAAGGGAGTGGGAGGGGAAGGTGAGGACACAGTGTCTGTGTGTCCAGGCAGGGCAGGCTCCACACTCAGGCTGCACAGAGCACACAGCACACCCAAGGAGTCCTCCCAGGCCATCTTCATGCCCGCCCCTTCTCACTGCCTTAGGCCCTTGAGAGAGGGGTCTGAGGGATACTCATGCTTAAGACCCCCATGCCAGAAATACAAGCAATCTGTGATATTTCCAGAGTGTGGGCCAGGGCTCTGCTAACAGCTTCAGGGGCTTCGCTCATTTAATCCTCTTCATCAACAGGAGTCAACGATTATCCTCAGACCCATTTCAGAGATAGGTAAGCTAAGGCTGAGAGGTCTGATGGCATGGCAAGGGCATGTGGATAAGAAGTGACAGAGCAGGGTTTGAGCTCAGGTCCTCAGCCTGGGACCCGGGCACTCACCCATCTCAGTGCAGACCACACTGACGCATGAGCAAGACATCTTTTTCTGGAGAGCCACCCTTCCCTTCCTCTACCAAAGGCCACTGCCTCCCCCACAGTTTACAGAGGAAAATCCACATCCACCATTTCGAGTCCCTGCTCTTCTAGGATCTGGCCTCGACTGATCTTTCTGCCCTTCGCTTTAAAGTTGCCCCCAGACAAACACAAATGCTCACGGCTCAGGTCCATCTCCCATCTGCCCACCCCAGGGCTCACTGTGACTCTTCTTTGGAATTCCCTTCCCGCTCCCTCCCACACCAATCTCTCATGTGCAAAGCCCGTCTAGGTTCCCAGGCCCTATCACAGGTCACCTCCACCGGCGAAGCTTTCCCTTACTCACCCCAAGCCAGCAGCTCTCCCTCTTCCTTAAGGCAAAAAGTCACTTTCCTACTTGAATCAAAGCAGCAGCTTTCAAGCTTCTCCTGGGAGGTGACCTCAGGCCCTGCTGGGGTGAGGTGAGAGGGCTGGTAACAGGGAGAAAGTGAATTCTGCCCTCTTCAGCAGGGCAGCTACTGTTTATTTGCTTCTATGCCTGCATCAGATTTCATTGCAAGAAAGGGCTCTCGGAGGAAATAAATCTTGACCTCAGGGTGTCAGATGTTGGTGAAGATGTCAAGACACCCCAGGGCTGGGCTGGGTGTAGCAGGACTCAACTCAATGTCCCCACAATGCTGTGCACAGAGCAGGAGCTGCAAACGTCGAGTTCCCAGGCTAGAAACCTTGGCCAAATAGCCCTGTGTGAGGAAGCTTCTGATGGTCAGCATATCACTCCTCCCAAATACGCAGTGAAGAAGGCACTGCCACTTCTCGGCTGGCAGCAAACCAAATGCTGGGTGCCAGGAAATGGACGGTGAGGTCACTAACCTCCAAAAGTTTCAAAAACAAACCTAAATGCAGAGGAAAGAGCATCGTCTGCATTTTAAGGGCCTGGGTTTCGATGGGGGTCCTTCTGAGTGGGCCCCAAATCCAAGATTTCACCCTGGAAAGGGGAAATGGAAGCCATCCCGCCTAGCTGAGGAAGCAAAGCACTCAGACGGGAAATATTTTTATCCGTCCACCTCACCTCCTTAGAATGGGAGGTGAACAGTGAACTAGTGCATTTATTTTAAAAGCGCAACATCCTTCCAGGATGGTAGGACGAGGCCCTCTGACGGGGTGAAGTTACTTCACTTGAGACCAAAAGCCCTCGATACTCAGGGAAGTGGGACTTTGTAGATGAAGCCAGGACAATTCCCCTACCCCCATCCCACAGCAGTGATTCAAAAACCATAAGGTCACTTTCTATGTCATGGCTATCTCCCTCTCACCCAACTGCAAAGCAGCTGCAGTTGAACATTTGGCACCTGGATGGGGGTCAAGGAGCTGGGACTCTGATGCAGGGAAGATGCTGACAGGGGTGGGAGTCTCTGAATCCTGAAGCAAGGGCTGAAGGTGTGCACATGTGTGTGGGGGGGCTGGCGCTAACGTCTTTTGGGAAGCAGATGATGAGTGTTAGGGGGTGTGTGTCTATGCTGGGGACAGGGTCCTGTGGTGTTGCTGGTGATGCTGACTGCCTTGCCTACCCCAGGTTGGATGAGGAGAGTCCCATCAGGCTGCCAGGCAGGGAGGGCAGAGGAGAGCACCATTCTGTGGGCTGGGCAAGCAGGGCGGCCTCCCCACCCTGAGTGCCTGCAGAGCCTGGCAGCCCGGCGCTGTGGCCGTCCGATGCCACACATCTAGAGTTCCTGGGCCGGCTGCTCCACAGCCTGCTCCTCCCCCGGCCGCATGGCCTCCTGCACGTAGACGATGAACTCCGAGGCCTCCCCGCCCTGTGTGTAGACAGTCACCGTCTCAATGCCCTCCACGTCGTCGGAGGACACCACCAGGTGGTGCTGCTCGGCCAGCTCCACGGACGCTTGCTGCACGGTCTCCTGGATCATGACCGTGTGGTTGGAGCTGGGCTCCTCCTCAGTGACCTGTGGGAGGAGGGCAGGAGAAAGGTCACTGGGGGCCCACTTCCAGGTCCAAAGTAACAAACCACAGCTTAGGAGCAACCAGCGCACTGCGGGAGGATGTCCACTCTCCACGGATCCTCTCTACGAGGCTGTGCTTGCTCTCATGCCCATTTTACAGATGAACAGAGCAAGGCTCAGCAGTGTAGGGCAACCAGCCCCCAGCTGTGGCAAACATTTGCGGATGCCAAGCTGCTTCCCGGGGCTTCCAGCAGGTGTGCGGTTACCTAGAGTATGAGGGTTGGAAAGCATTGTGGGGCTTATTTATGCAAGTGTCAGGGGTAGGGGTTGTGGGGAGCTCCTGGAAGTTTGTAGCTGGTCCATCTGTCAGTGATAAAGGCACTAGGTCCATCCAGGGCTCTCTGCTTTCCCACACCCAGGAAGCTCGCCTTTGTGTGAAGATCTGTATCATACTAGGAAGGAGCAGATGTCCAGCCCGATTTTCCCCAGGTGTCATCCGTCCATCAACACTAATGCCTCAACTATTTGGGGAAGGCCTGCTGGTGGAAACTCACTGCCACAGGGTTGGACAGGAGAGTCTCCTGGGTGTCCGTCAGGGAACAGGATCTCATGGATTCTATGGCCAAGCCTTTCTCTGAAGCTCCAAGCTGCCAGATTCCAGGCAAGACCAAATGCCAGCTGGTGCTAATACCCCACATCCCCGATGCTGCCAGCTCCGGGCTGTTTGTAAATAATAACTGTCTTTGATCTTGAGATGAGAAACAAAAGACATGAAGTTGAGATCTTAGAGCAGTAAAAATGATGAACGGCTAGAAACTAACACGAGAGGAAAGCAAAGGGCCTGGAACTGTCCAGCTGGGGGATAAGAGACTCTTCAGATTTACAGAAGGGTGCCAGGAACACCCCTTCATTTCCAGGTGAGTCTGAATGGCAGGCAGGAAGAGCTCTGTCCTGCACTTGCTGGGCTTGGGGCGTCAGTTCCACCATTTCTAAGCTATGAGGCCTGCCTGAGCAAGACACTTCCCCACAACCTTCAGTTTACGCATCTGTAAAACAGGGACCAAAATGTGTTCTTCAGAGGATTCCTGGGAGAATGGAAGGAGATTTTATATGCAAAGTGGGTGCTCAATAACAGCACTGACCTTTCAATCTCTTCATTTATTCATTCAACCACATTTTTTTTTTTTTTTTTTTTTTTGAGACAGGCTCTCTTGCCACTGTAGTGCAGTGGTGTGATCTCAGCTGACTGCAACCTCGGCCTCCTAGGCTCAAGCCATCCTCCTGCCTCAGCCTCCCTAGTAGCTGGCACTATAGGTGTGTGCCACCACACCTAATTAATTTTTGTATTTTTGGTAGAGACGGGTTTTTTCCACATTGCCCAGGCTGGTCTCAAACTTCTGAGATCAAGTGATCCACCTACCTCGGCCTCCCGAAGTGCTGGGATTACAGACATCAGCCACTGCTCCTGGCCTCAACCACAATTTTTAAAATACTTGCTGCTGCCTAGAAAGTATTCTAGCATGTCAAGCACTCATTCTTTTACCCCACAGTTTTGTCATCCTACCAGGTACCAGTAGACGGCAAGCTCCACAAGGGCAGGACCATGTCTGCCTGCTCACAGCTGTTTCCCCAGAGCCAAGCTTAATGCCTGGCACTCAGCACGTGTTCAGTACTTGCTGACTGATGATCCACTAGGTGCCAGATGCTAAGAAAACGACAGTCCTCCGAGGAAGCTGAGTCTCAGGGGGCAGGCACAGGGCACAGTGAATGACTGTGCTGTGGAGTAGTGGGCTCCTGCAGGGGAGGCCTGTGCAGGTGTTGAGGTCCCAGGGGAGACATGGGGATGGGGTCCAGGCAGATCGGAGAGCAATGACTCCCAGGAGGTGTAGGGATGGCAAATCGGCTCGGACAGCCTCCATGAGGTCCCACTCATGACACATCTGGTTCCTTTCCTGGCCTGCAATTGGCATTGGGTGGCCTCCTACTCCCTGTGTCTTCTGACTGCTCTCTCTGGGGAGGGCCCAACTGACTTGGAAGGTCTCATCCTGAAGCTGTGATTATTCCAGTCTCCGTGAGTGAGAAGGGCTGTTTCAACAGGTGGGGCATGTTTAATTCTGAGAGAAAAATAGAAAAGGTTCCTCCGGGGTGGGCTCCGGAGGTTCCAACATTATGGATTGGAAGGAACTTTTGGTTTGGACTGATAGGATTCTCCCAGAGCTGGAGAGCTATTCTGAGTGCAAACTGTCAGCACATTTAGACTGATTTGTTGTTTTAGAGTGAACTGGGACCTGTTTTTAGTTCTTTTCCTATTTGTTTCAATTTCATTTAACTGGGAAAATACACCATGAACCAGGATTTTAGAAGTAAATACTGATTTATTTCTCTTTGCAAGAGAGAACCTGACAGAAGATTGGGGAAAGGGAAGGAAATGCACAACTAATCTTTCCTCTTTTTACCTGTCAGTAAATGCGACACAAGGAAAGGGTTGGGGGGATGGGGATGGTTGACACCCAGGTCCCCAGGGCCTCACATGTGCAAACAAGCCCTCCACACTCTGGTAAACAGACCACATACAATACAGGGAGACCAATCCATCCATGAGCTGTAACGCAGGCTCTGGGTCATGGCACCATCATGTGGACATAGTGACTGCCACCGAAGCTAAGCCTAAAGAGGACAGTGACTCCTTCACTGACAGAAATTTTCCACTGGCTAAAAACTCCCACCCTTTAAACACTCTGACCCCACAATGCCCAAGTCCTGACAGTGGCTGAAATCACTGCCAAGGACAAGGAGAACCACACCAGGGACAGGCTTTTTAGGAGCAGAGGCTGCAGCCTCCTGTCCCCTGGCAGCACAGAGGACACACTCCAAGTTCTAAGGGCCAGCCCCAGGAAGAAGCAGGAGGTCCCCAGCTGGCCTGACATCGCAGAAGAGGCCAGTGTGCCTGACCTGAAGGTAAACAATGTGCTAATAACTCTGCAGCACCTGAAGACTGCTTCTTGGAGGGTGGCATTGGCCACAGAGGGTCTGTGGTGGGAAGAGGCATCACAGAGAGTAGAGAGTGAGCAAAGAACAGGTGTGTGCCCTACAGACCCGTCAAGGCCACTGGCCACCTCCTTGTCACCAAACCCACTGGGCAGAGTCCCGTCTTCACCCTTCCAGAGTGCTCTCTACCATTTGGCATGAGATGCTCTCTTCACTGCTTCCACCTTGGGCTTGCCAGCACTGGTCTCTGTGCCAGACTGCAGGGTCACTCACTGCTCTTCTCTTCTGCCCACCACAAAGCCTGGAGGATTCCTGGGTCTCCCACCTTGACTTATTCTCTGGATGCCCGGGCCCTTTCAGTCCCGGCTGAGCCAGGCTGCAGCCACCACTCCTGAACTCCAGATCTCACCTCCATCTCCAAGTGGGAAGCATACTCAGGAGTGTCTGTCAAACAATGCCTGAACAGGGCTGCGCAAAAGTCACAGGAGAGAAGGCATTTGGGGGAGAAGCGGCAGCTGAGGCCTGAAATGAAGTTTGCAGGAGGATCTTGAAAAGCCTTGATCATCAGTTGAGAGATTGAGACTTCATTTCACAAAGAAGGGCCCTGTGTCATCCAATCTGACATTTATGAATCAAAACCTGCCTAACATGAGAAGACTTTCTGAGAAGCAGGCTTCTCTCATTATCCCTCTAAGTATTTACATTTGTTTGCCTGTGACGTCTTTTCTAAGTATTCAATCTATTTAAAGATAACCTTTCTCCCTGTATTTTGTTTTGTTGTTTCATTTTCCAGCCTCCAGGATTTGTCCAACAGAATCACCATGAAATTCACCCACTGCTAATTATCAGAGTCCAAAAAAAGTTTCCCAACATCATCCTTTGGGCTTAATTCACCAGAAAAAGTGCTGGCGGCAATGGCAATGTGTATTTCCCAAGTCCTGCAAAGAGCAGGCTTCCTGGTGTGCACAGAGCATGCTGCTGCCCTGTCATGTTACTGAGCCTCTGAGACGCACAGGGTTCCTGAAGGTCCCCCGCAGCCTGACGTTGGGCCTGCTTTACACTCTGAGTGTGCATGAGTGGCTCTGCTGGCCCTGCAGACGCTGCCCACACAGATGTCCACATCACAAAAAGCCAACATGTAGAGAAGATGCTTTACAGAAGGGGTTCATAAGGCTTTCTGCAAAGAGTGCACTCCCCTTGTGCATTTCATGGTACATGATCATACTGTTTGCTTCTATACAGTTTTTATAAACAAGGGACCCCTCTTCTTGCTCCCATGGCACCCAAAATCCACCCAGCCACTTGTGGTTTACTGAACACGCTCCCATGCCTTGTCCTGATTCTTTACACACAATGTCTCGTGCATGGGCATTTGTGTTCCCACTTTACAAATGGGGACACTGAAGCTCCTACTGGCCTGCTAACTCCAGTCAAATAGCCAGAAAGTAGAAAAAGCTCGAACTTAGTCTGGTTGATATGATTAAATTATCACTCTTTACTCCTCTTGATTAGTCTCAGGCTGGCTGTAGAACTCTCAACCACTCTCTTTGTTCAAAATGATCACTCTAGTAGCTTAATCTATTAGCACAGGCTTAAAATTGTTCTCCGCAACAGAAATAATATGGCTTTCACGGTGTCATTATCCCCTGAGATGGGCACTCCATTTTCCCCAATTGCTGTATCTAACACATCTATGAGATGAATTATTAGCAGTATAGATGGCTTAATAGAAACCCTTAACCCCTGGGACGCACAGATTGTTCACGGAATCAGGCACTGCATGCTGCTGTTCTGCGGACTCTAGTGTCGGGTGTCTGGATGGGATCACTGTCAGGACCGGCACATTGCTGGAGGGGAGCTTTCCCTGGAGACCCCATGTCTTCCTTGGCCTTAACCTGTCATCATCCATTTATCCAGCAAATGCCGATAGAGACTCCACTGTGTGCCATTCAGCGGCTGTGGCTCTGACTGGCTGGCTGTCGTGCTTTTTTTCTGCTCCTCTGCCTGTTCTGACTTCTCCTGCTCCTCTAGCTCCTCTTCTCACTTTCTTTGTAAAAACCCATTCCTCAAAGGTTAACCTTTCTCCCACTAACATATGAGAAAATCCCAGAAGTTCTTCTAGCTCAGGAAACTCTCTTTAAGGAAGGTGGGTCCTGCATTGCTCCCACAGTGCTCCCAGGGTGGCCTGAGGGACCAGTGCACAGGGCTTTTACCACCCATCTCTGCACAGATCTCTCCCGAAGCAAGCACAGTGCTGGCTCCTCTGTGCCCAGCCCAGTGCCACAGTCTTGGCAGGCACATAGTAGGTAGGTGTTGGTAATTTAGGCTGGTACAACAGTAAATGTAGTTTTTGTTTGTCTTTGAGATGGAGTTTTGCTCTTGTTGCCCAGACTGGAGTGCAATAGCACAATCTCAGCTCACTGCAACCTCCACCTCCCAGGTTTAAGCGATTTTCCTGCTTCAGCCTCCTGAGTAGCTGGGATTAGGGATTAGGTGTGCACCACCAAGCCCGGCTAATTTTTGTTATTTTTAGTAGAGATGGGGTTTCTCCATGTTGGTCAGGCTGGTCTCAAACTCCTGAACTCAGATGATCCGCACGCCTTGCCTCCCACAGTGCTGGGATTACAGCGTGAGCCACCACGCCCGGCCAGTAATTGTGGTTTCCGTACCAACCTAGAGCTCTGGACCTTCCCAGGTATAGAACCTGGAAACAATGGCCAAGAGAACCATCTGGAGCAGCCACGGACTCCAGGGCCAGCTGTTGTCTGCCCTTGGTTCAAACTCTGTCTGGTAGGAGCCCCTTTGATGATCTGAAAGTAGCGAAGATGGTACATTCTCTATGGAGGAGAGTCGCTTTTGGCTCTAAAGTCCCAAAGGTCCAATCACCTTATTCTATGGAAGAGAAGTCAAGGCTCAGAGAAAGCAAACTGCCGAGGGCCACGTTGCTGGAAGTAGAGCAGATTTTTGAGTTCTGGTCTGCAAAGCTCCCCGGCCTGTACCAGGCAACTTCACATCAAGCCACAGAACACTTTGGTTCCGGGAGAACACAGCCAGGATGTCCGGCCTGGCACCCAGGCAGGGGCGAATAGCAAGTAGGCTTTCCCTGAAATAACAGTAACTGTGTATAACAGTTGTAATAATTATTTTGAGACAAGGTGTCACCCTGTCACCCAGGCTGGAGTAGAGTGACGCGATCACAGCTCACTGCAGCCTCAAACTCCTGGACTCAAGAGTTCCTCCCACCTCAGCTTCCAGAGCAGCTGGGACCCTCCCTGGAATTACTGAATGAACAAAGAAAGCAGTAAACACACGATGATGATGATGATGATGATGATGATGATGATGATGATGATGATGGAGACACATGAGGACAGATCTAAGGCTCTGAAATCACACTCTGGAATAAGAAGTGTTTGTTGTGCGTCAGGTGCTGTGTGAGCAGTTTACATGTATTAGTCCTCAGTCTTCACAGTGCCCCAAGAAGTCTTAGTGTCCCAGATTTAGAGGAGAGGGGGACTCAGGGGAGGCTGACAAGCTGCCCTGTGGCCTCTGCCCACCCATTGGGCCCTGAGGAGTTACATGCAGGCTACGGCCCTGCTCCCCAAGCCTTTGAGCCTGCTGGTCACAGCAGCCAGGTCACTGTGCACAGCTCTGGGCTTGGCCAAGCAGGAGGCTGCAGTGCCAGGGTCCACACAATCTTCTTGATTCTCCCACTGGTCTCCTGCATTTGACCCTGACTTTTTTTCACACCTCTCTTTCCTCTCTAATGAGAAGGCACTGCTGGACTCCTCTGTCAAAGTCCCCTCTGCCTCGGAAACACAGTCTCAGAAACATCCAGAAGCTGGCTGAAGCAGGAACACACGTTTTCTGGAATCCTTGACACTGAGAGGGAGGTGTCTTGCCAAACAGGAAGGTCATGGGAAAGGCAGTGGCCCATGGGGACACTTGACCGTAGCGTATAACCTGGCCCACAGTCTGAAACCCAATCCCCTAACATAGCTCCTTCTGTGTCAGAGGCTGCAGCAACACCCCTCCCCAGGACATTGAAACAGCCCCAAGACACATCAAAGGACATCAAAATATAATAAACAAAGACTCATTAAGAGGAGAGAGAGCTGCATCTCATGGCTGAATCCCGCAGAGGCACCAATGAGAAAGGGGAAATGTTCTTACTAGCTGGGTATTTAAAGCAACAATTTTTTAAAGTGCTGGTGGAATATGATAAACAATACAGATTCACATCACAGCTTTCAAAACACTGTGCAAAGAACCTCGTGGTGCCTGAGCCCCCACCTGCCTGTGCAGGGGGCCTCGGAGTGCACTCCTGTTCAGTCCTGACAGGGTGCTGGAACTTTTGGGGTTTCATCAGACCACGCGGAACCTGCCAGATTATTAGAACTTAGCTCTCAACCATAAATAAGTGATGAATAAAGGAATTTAAAATAAAACCGTTGGCCCTAAAACAAAACATCAGAATGACACGAGGGTGGCATCAGTTAACTTCGTATTGCGTTTGCAAACCTTTGGAACAAAGCTGCCACCATTGCAGCTGCTGTTAGATGCTGCCCACATCCCCAGTGCCCTCCCGCAAGCCTGTGCCCTCCATCAGGCACTGGGAGGAAGATGAGCCACCTTCGCTTAAGGAATTCCAGCTGTGGGGTCTCTTTAGGACAGGAATCATCCTTTATGTTTTTCAGGAAAAAGAAACTCCACCGTCATCTGCCACCATCGCCACCACCGCCAGGAGGTCATTTTGCTTCAGCATCCTTCACGTTTCAAATCCATTTGTAAATAAATTGAACCAGGTTCCTATTTGTTAAACCATGTCTCGGAGAACAGCCCTCTCGCAGATGTCATTAATGTCCCTGAAAGGGAAGGCACTTGCGGCTGTGGCTCAGAAGTCCCTCTTTCTTCTCCTCTTGTTGGCACGCCTGTTGTTCTCAGGATCAGTTCTCAGAACCTGCTGGGAGGCAGCCCCAGACCCCGACTCGGCCTTCTGTGCTTCAGGGGAAGTGGAGAGAATGCAGAAGGCCACCAGGAGAACACAGCCACTGTCACAATCATCACCACAGAGAATGCGGTGAGCACCTTGATGAGATCAGGCGTGGGAGGGGCAGTGAGATGAAGACAACAGCTGACTGAAGACTAGATGCAGGCAGTGTGCACAGGGGTGGGGGGCGTGGGTGAGGGGTTGCTATGTACATGCACATGCCTATGTGCAGGAATATGGGTGTGCATATGTGTATATGTGTGCTCATGTGTATATCTGTATGTGCGGGTGTGTATATGTACTTGTGCATGTATATGGGTCTGTATATGTGCATATATTTGCATATGTCTATGTAGATATCCATGCTTATGCGCAGGTTTATGGGTGTGTTGATACATGAATATTGTGCACCTATGTGCATGTGATAAGTGTGTGTATGTCCATGGGTATGGGCATGGCCCATCACTACGCTTGTGTACCTCCATCTTTAAATCTCAAGAAAGGCCTGCAGGTAGAAGAAATCTCTCCTTGCTCACTCTTCCTTTTCTTCTTTCTCTTCTGCAGCCTGTGACACTACTTGCTCCCTGGTTTCCTGTCACTTCTCATAATGGCCCAAACAGGTAAACCCCTGCAAGTTTAGAGTGTTTGTGATCCCATGCCTCCTCTTGTTCTCACGGAGCCCTGAGAGGACGGCAGGGTAGACGGGATTCCCAGGCATCCCTTTGAGAAGGGGTGGCTCAGAGAGTTGATGTGAGCCCTTCAGCTAGTAACAGGTGATTCTGGAATTTGAAGCCAACAGCCTTCTGTGTAATAGTCACGGCTTCCTGTAACCTTCAAAATAAAGCCCAAGCTCCCCTGTAGGACGGGCAAAGCCCTTCCTGCCTGGCTCCTTCTCCCACACTCAATATTGGTTCCTGAACATACAAGCTTTCTGCCTCTGAACTTCCAACTGTGTTGGTCCACCATCTTTTCCCAAAGATCCCATCTTGTTCTTAAGAACTCAGGTCCATGCCCTCTCCTCCAGGAAGCCCCCCCGGCTCTGAGCCAGTGCTCCCTTACAACACTGTGCTGTCTCCTGTTACACACCAGTGCCACTGGATCCCAGCCATCACACTATGCCACACTGAGGAGGCGCACCCTGTGTCGCACTCTCCCTCGCCTTCCCGGCAAATGGCGAACAGTGAATGCTGCTTCTCAAATGAGTCACTGGGATGAAGAGTGCAGACTGAAAGTCTTGCTCAAATCACCACCAGATGAGGCACAGCTGAAGAGGAGGGAAGATGTCCCACCAGGGCTTGGCCTCTGCATTGAGCAACCACAGGAATAAGACAGTGTTAGTTAGAGAGGAAATGCAGCAAGCCCCACTGTGGGGCAGCTCAGGCACAGGTTCCAGAGGGACTTTTTTTTTTTTTTGAGATGGAGTTTCGCTGTTGTTACCCAGACTGGAGTGCAGTGGCGCGATCTTGGCTCACTGCAACCTCCGCCTTCTGGGTTAAAGCAATTCTCCTGCCTCAGCCTCCCGAGTAGCTGGGACTATAGGCGCGCGCCACCATGCCCAGCTAATTTTTGTATTTTTAGTAGAAACGGGGTTTCACCTTGTTGACCAGTATGGTCTCGGTCTCTTGACCTCGTGATCCACCTGCCTCGGCCTCCCAAAGTTCTGGGATTATAGGCGTGAGCCACCGCGCCCAACCCCAGGGGGACTTCTAAGGAAGAGTGGAGTTCTGACTTCGGGAGGCCCCTAGTAGCTGGTAGCGCTGCTGGATGGGGGCCCTCTTATGGGTAAACAGCCCCCTATGTTGAGCATTCCGCAGCCTTCATGCTAATGAAGTTGGCAGATGGGCAGGTTCCTGAAAGTTTGCTGGGGCCAGAAGTGACAGGGAAAGCAGAAGATGGATAGAAAACAAGGTTAACAAGGGCAACAGATGTGTAGGGCCAGTGCCTGTGCTGAGCTGCTAGACTAGAAAGCTGTCACTCTCCTCAGGCAGAGTTAGGAATGTAACATCAGCACTTGATTTGTAAGACAGACAGAGGCAGCCTCTGTGTTCAGACACCACTAAGAGGTGGGTCATTTGTTGAATAAGCCATCTCTGAAAGCCACCCACTCTCTGCTTTGGAGTGTCACATCTCGCGTAGGCTGAATTCCCATATGTACTTCTTCAGACAACGTCTGGGCTCTCTCTTCTGTCCGCTGAGAATTTAGCATGTGTCAGATGCTCTGGTGGAAGCTGGAATCAGAACCGTGAGGCCTGTCGCAGTTCCTGTGCCCAGCAGGCTGCAGTCCAGGGGGGAAAAGGACAAGGGCCTCGTCCTGGATTGCCAGGGTTGGGGGAAGGTAGGGTAGGAAGCAGCTGGCGGCCAGGGATGGTTTCTTGAAGATTATGACCCTGGTCTTGAACACTGTGGGATTCCTAGGAGTCCAAAGAATGGGGGAGGAGGTGTAAAGAGATGGGGAAAAGCACCAGGCAGAGGAACGGCTAGACAGATCCAATGAAATTCAGAACAAGTCGGGGGTCGCGGTGGGGAAAGAGATGAAACAGAGGGGAAAAAAAGACTAGAGAGACTATCAGAACCCAGATCATGAAGGATCTTACAGGAATTTAGTCTGTCTCTAAAATTAATGGGCGCCTCTCTATTAGACAGAAGAGACCTAATCAGACCCCAAAGCTCATTCCGCTGGAATGTAGGAAGGGGCTATGGGGAAGAGGAGGCAGAAAACCTGGAGGTACAGAGGCCAGGGACAGTTTGGCATCCTGTGAAGAGGATGGGCCTGAACATGAGAAGAGGGCACAGGGATGGAAGCCGGCAGAGAAGCCACTATGGTCTATCTTCTGCCACACCCATTCTCCCTTAACCCATTCTAGGAGGCTCTTAGGCCCAATGCTCAATGGGTCTGCCCTCTTCCAGAGTCCAGTGACTGCCACCCCGGCCAGGCCCGACCCTCACAGCTCGGTCTGCATCTTGCGCAGCCTCTGCAGCCTCCAGCCCTCCACTGTTACTTTCCTGGGCCACTTTCTTCAATGCCCCATAGCATAGCTCCCTCCTAAGTGTCCTCCCTCCTAAGTGTCCTCCCTCCTCCCTGGCTGCTCCCTCGGCATCTCTACAGCATCTATCTCCACTTCTGTACCCCTAAGTGGTATACGGCCCGTGTTCAGCCCTGGGAGGGCTCTTCTCTCTCCACATCCCCTCCTTCCATCGTATCAGGCAAGCTCGTGACTTCCGATATCGTCTTCAGGCTGCTGACTCCCAAATTTACGTCTAGACCAAACCCCTCCCTGAAATGTGAATGTGCATAGCATATTTCCTACTAGACATATCCAGGTGTCAAATAGTCATTTCCAAGTTAACAAAGCCAAAATGGAACTAGTCACTTCCCAACCACCCAACTTGCTCCTCCCTACTCTGACCTCTTCTCAGTAGAAGGCACCACCATCCACCCATCTTCTCAAAGCAAAAGGCTTAGGCATCAGCCCTGATTCAGCTCTCACACACACTCTACGTCCAAAGCACTGATGGACCAGTCAGCTCCACCACGATATGCAGGCCAGAGCGCTCCAGTCCTCCCCTCCCCGCAGGATTACTCTGGCCAGGCCAAGCTGCTTCTCACTCTAGGTCTCACCCCAAGAGTCCTTAAGTGACTTCTTAGTTATGTGGATCAGCATAAAAATCAGTGCCTCAGTTTACCACCTAATGCCACAAATACAGATGGGAGACAGAATCTGGGAGTAGTGCCTGTGAAAAAGATCCAGGGGTTTGAGGTGGCACCAAGATCAATGTGAGTGAATGGTGAGCATGGCCGCTGTAAAAGGCAGCTTCGAGTTTACTGAAATGAGGGACAAAGTCCCATCCTAATCTCTTCCAACTGCCGTCAGCTTCAGACCTCCCCTGGAGTCCATGCCTGGGTTCAACCACGAAGAGGACTAAAGATCATCAGTCAACATTCCAAGGAGGCTGACCAGTCTAGAAAAAAATGGCTGGGGTACTTGAAGATGTCTGGTCTAGAGAATAGAAGACGCAGGGCCCAGGAGATGCCTGTGCCTTCAAATACACAAGGGGCTGTCTCATGAGGGACCATCAGATGTACTGCTGGATCTGGAGAGGGCCAGGGCTCACAGACGGGATACGGAAGACAGTGGACTGCTGTCTGGAATTGACATAACCAGCTCCTCATTGCCAAAGCTATGCAAATAGCAGCTTCAAGAGCATCGGGCTGGATTCTTCCTCAGGACAGACACTGGAATTAACAGGACAGTCTGCCCTTTACCCCTCACTGCATTACTAAGTCCAAAAAGTGGGAATTCCCCCTTTCAGAAGTCTGAGAGGCAAGGCCCACCTCCACGCTGCCCTCTCACCTACCTCCCTCAGAGGGCCTAGAGAGGAAATGCAAGCTCGTGGCTTGGCCTCCTCAGTCTTGCTGTTCACCCCCTCCCTGGAGCTCTCCTCCTCCACCATGCCTGAAGCCAGTGCAGCAGAACCCTCCAACCCCTGCAGAGATCTTTTGGAAAGCTGCAGGTGTGGGTAACAATGTGTCAGAATGCCCCTCACAACCAAGAATTGTTCTGTGTCTCACCATGACTTTCACATTTTCCTCCTAGTCACAAGGATAAAAATAAACAATGACAACAACCTTATCTTTGATGACCTGAACCTAGAACCTAACTGTTTTACGTATAAACACAGAGTACTGAGTCTATGTGCTGCGTTCTTCTAGAAATACAGCTGTTGTTTACGGCGAGGGAAGACAGTACTTCAGGAAAGCTCTCCAGCATCAGCAATGCTGCTCGCGCTAGTAGCCTCACCCTCGAGTCACAAAGTGCTCTCAGCCTGCGCTCCTGGCTGGTGCCCCCAGAGTAGGTACTATGCTTAAGAGAAGGCACGTGACCCCAACGTTATGTTTTTATTTTCTTATTGTTGCTTTAACAAATTACTAGAAATTTAGCAGTTTTAAACAACATAAATGTATCTTCTTTCAGTTCTAGAGTTCAAAAGTCTGAAATGGGTCTCACTGAGCTAAAATCAACATTTCAGAAGAGCTGTGTTCCCGGCTGGAGACCTCAGGACAGAATCCACTTCCTTGGCTTTTCCAGCCTCTAGAGACAGCCTGCATTCCTTGGCTTGTGGCTTCCTTCCATCTTCAAAGCCAACAACATTTGGTGGAGTCTTTCTTACGATGTCATCTCTCTGGTTCCGACTCTACTGCCTTCCTCTTCCCCGTTTGAGAACTCATATGATCACACTGAGCCCACGTGCATAATCCAGGATAATCTCCCCTTCTTGGATTCAACTAATTAGCAACCTTAATTCTCACTTGTCAAGTAAAACCTATTTGCAGGTTCTGGGGATGATGACATGGACACTTCTGGGGCACCACTGTCCTGCCTACCACTATATCTTGGTATAGTCATGTCTGAATATGAAAACACTCAATTTCTTATTATTTTAGTATAAATACCTTTCCATTTACTTCTTGTTATTTCAGTTAGGATACTAGAGTGTTTTGATTTTTTTTTTAAAGTCATGCATGTGTAGGAATCTGTGAGTTTCATTTCAAAAGAGTAAAAGGAGTGTTACAAGGTAGTCATTATTCGATGGGAGTCCTGGGTCTGTTGGGTTGAGGCTTCCTAGGAGGGCAGTTGCTACAGCAAGCAGCTGTAGAGCTGCCCTGCTGTTGCCCATCCCTGCCTATGACTAGATGGCTCATCTGGTCTCCAGTTCCTCTTTCTCTCCTGTCGTTCTCACTACCCTCTGATTCACTCACGTCTTGTTCCTCAGATGCTTCCATACCTTGAGATCAAAGGAAAGGGCGCAATTCATTTCCTCCCAGACGGCCACCGTCTTGTATGGTCCCTTCCACTCAGAAATTCGTGGACTCCATGTGATGGTAAGAATTAGAGGACTGCAGACAAAAATCCAAATACAACCCAACGATGAGCATGAAAAAGAACACTGTAGTTGATTCTTGTAGGGAGAATATTCCCCTGTGTGTGTTTAAGCTCTGGGGAAGAAGCCTTATTTTTTCCAGTGATTAGGGTTTTACTTACTGCTTACACATAACCAAGCAGTAGCTTCCTTTTCATTCTCAAAACGGGGAACTGGCAGGACCGTTTCACAAGGTCAACAAGCAAGCACATTTGCTTTCACAGCCCTAGGTGGAGAGTGGAGTTGTATAAGTCAGAAATAAAGGGAAACAGCAAATACAATCCTGAATTTATAGAGGGAAGAAAAGGCACAAATGAATGTGGTTTGTAAAAAACAGCATAAATTCCTAACTCCAGAAATATGTATCTATACAGGACAAAAATAAGGGTGTTCTGGGGGCATTATGTGCAAGAAACTTGTGGAAATATCAGGAGGTATTCGCAGGCAGGAAGAAGCCATTCCATACATCAATGGAGACTGAAAGCCTTTTAAAGAGGAAAGAATGCACAGGAAGTGAGGAAGGCTGTGATTCATCCTGCTGTCAGGCTACACATCTCTCATGGAGGAAGACGGTATAATGTTGCCTCTCCACCCTATTTTTCTCTTGGTTTTAAGTAGACATCAGACATGTTTTCTTTTCCGGAAGTATAAATCCCGTGCAAAGTCCAAAGCCTAAGCTGTAAAGGCAGCTTGCTAATGGCAGTCACCACCCATCTCCTGTGTCTCCTGGGTCTCTGAATACTGAGACTCCACCATCGGCCAACGGAGCTGCAACCCTGTTTCCTAAGCCCCAGGCGCTGAAGAGCTCTGCTATGCAGGGGGTACCACCTGCAATGTGGATCTGTCCACCAGGTCCCCTGGCCTAAAGGAAACAGGAAGGGCCAGCTCTCTTCCTTGAGAGAAAAGGGCCTTGGAAACAGGAAGAGAGGAGCAATGCAGGCTTCCTGGCCTCTGTGCCATAAGAGGAGGATGAAAAGGTTGCCACCCTGGCCAAACCAACTCACTGGGCAGCAGGAAGAGGATGCCCATAGCTAGAACATCGTGTACCTCTTGTATGTCTCCACAGTCTAAGTGTAGCTTAGTTTGGACTGACTAATCATTTGACAAATTGTGGGAAACCAGAGAGACAACATGGTAGAGAGAGAGTGTCGGAATGAAGAGATGGGGGCAGTGCCTGGCACAGGGCAGGTGTGTGAGGTGCAGCACTCGTGACTGCTCCTGGATGCCAGGCCTCTCTGGAGGAGGTGTCTGCCACCCCTGCCCCTCCCAGCTGAGCCAAGCCCCCACACACTTAAGCTGCTGCCCATGTGCTTCACACATCCCCAGTATACCATCATGCCATGGCCACAGGGCACCCAGCTTATAGTAGGCGCTCAATAGACACTGAATGGAATTATTTGAATGTGGACCCGAGGAGCTATTTCAAAGTTACGCTGAAACAGTTCAGAACATATTCACTGTGAAAGGGAAGGAGGCAGGCAGAGCTTCTCCCTCCCCACAAACATCTTTTAATGTTTAAACATATTTATTGTGCATAATACTTGACTTTCCTGACCTTTAAGTGCACATACACTGAGTCTAGATTTGATTTAGTGCCAGGCCTGGTGTGGCAGCTCTACAGCATTGCCTGGTGCCTCACAGAGGGAGCACTTTCTTCCCTACACTTTTCTCCTCCCTCCCCACTCCTGCCTGGTGATCCCCACACAGGTATGCAGCTGTCGGGGTTGGGCAAACCTTTCAGACTGTTTCTCACCCAAGCCCCCTCCACGGTACTTTAGGAATAGTTTCCTTTGTACATTTCCACCTGCCTGACTTTCACAAAATCACCCCCATGACCATCCCTGCAGGCCTTGGCCTTTCTCATTGCTGGTGGTCCTGTCAACCTGAAGGGCAGGTGCTCAATAAAGCAGTGGAGACAGGATCGATCTGCTGCCCTTTCGTGGGCCACCTCGAGGACACTGTCTTGGTGCCTGCCGGAGAAGCGCTTGGCTTCTTTCCTCAGCTGACGCATACTCTTTTCCCCCTAATTAAGCAATCTGCTTCTACTAGCAGTTTCTTTCCCTGTCCTTTAATATGAGTGACCTGAAGCCTCCACAGAACCCCAGCACAGCCTGGCTGGTACCTGAGCAGAGAAGGAAACTGGAGCTGGCAGGACCCAGGTCATATTCCTCCCTGGATGGCCACAGAGCCACAGCCCTTGCCCAAGGTAGAAAAACCAAAATAAAGTATTTTTATTTTTTGTTTAAAATGTTTATCGTAACAAAATACAAACCACCTAAATCACTCATCAGACTTACCAAGGTAAGTCCTTTAGTAGCAAGCAGATCTAAGAACAGAAGAAGAAACCGGCTATCTCTTCTTATTTGGAGCACCAGCGAAGCCTTGACATTCACCCTACTGGTGTTGACAGGAGAGTCTCAGATCTTATGCTGAAACCCCAGAGGCAGCAGCTTCTGCTCCTGAAATCCACATGACCCACGTACTTCTCTCTCAGAGTAGGAAGATCTGCTTAATTAAACTCTCCTTTGTCCTGGTGTTAAGTCCCCCTCACTCACTTGCCTGCTAAATGGAAGCGACCAGAAGCAGAAATAGATGTGGCTGAATTCTACAGACACAGTAAGAGGTAAGGAGCTATGCTGTTTCCATGATCACGGGAGCTAAAATTTATGAACTCAGCCATGTGCTGGGCACAGGGCCAATGGCTTCATTTTGCATAATTAGGTATAATGCATACAACAGCCCCTTGGAGTAAGTTGCATGATCTTCCCATTATACAGATGAGAAAACATAGGTTCAAACTAGGTAAGTGTTTATCCAAGGTCACACACTATTATGTGACAGATCCAAGCAGTCTGGCTCTCTTTCAGCCACTTGATACAGCACTGGCTATGCCAAGGGCTCCTTCTCCATCCACTATGAAATAAGCTTGGGTGACTCCCATGAAACAGGCTTCTCAGAGATACCTCCAGGGTTGCCCATCATGGCAGGGGGCTCTGTCCCAGAGGCCTGCAGCTGCTGTGGTAGGGGATGCACAACCAGCCTGGAGAATATGACGCTGCTCAGCACAAGCCACATATAGGGCAACTGGCCCCACCAGCTCAGCTTCCTGACATCTGATCTTGCATTCATGGTTTTGAACGCTTATAAAACCTCTAAAATATATCAGGCCCTGAGCCAAGTGTTAATAGATCCCAGAAGTGGGTGAGACCAAAGTGTCACCTGCTCTCATGGAGCTTCCAGTTTGCTGGGGAGAAAAGCCATGTGTATAACCAACCACACTAGATAGGGTTTGTGATACAGTTCCTAAGAACTGTGGTGGGGTAAGGGAGAATGCCCCATCTTCACCACTGCTTGGAGAGGGAGGAGAGCTTCTGCCCCTTGGAAAATACTCTCTTTCTAATTGCTCCCCCCAGGTCAGGAAGGACCTGACAATCCGACAGCTGAAGCTGACCACAGGGTCTGACCTGATGTGTCCTAATGGGCAGGGGTTATCCTGACACGCAGGGATCCACCCACCCTTGTAGGTCGTGCTCCTTCTTGGAGTGTTTGCTTTTATGCGGAAGCAGATGCTCCCGGATCCTGTGCCTCCCTCCCACAGTCAGCACGGGTTGGGGGGTCTTCTTGAAGCATCCCACCATGAAGCAAGAAGGAAAGTGGAAAGAGAGAGGCGGGCACCTGGCTGTCGGGCCTGGTGGGCCATGGAGAGATTCTATTCTAAGTTTACTGGAGACTTTCTGAATTATTGGAGGATTTTACATGTAATGATACTTCTAAAAGATCACTCTGGCTTCTGTGTGAAAACTGGATCTTTGAGCAGCAGGATGGAAAGAGAAGAGCATCCTCTGTGAGCCAGGGGAGGGGGACTGACGGCTGAGAACAGGCTTCTAAAACTCTAATGTGAACAGGACACCCCCACTGCTGGTTACACATAAAGCCTGATTTGGGAGGGCTGAGGTGGAGTCAGGGACTCTGCATTTCTCACAAGCCCCTGATGCTGACCACTGGCCCAGGGACTGCATTTTGAGTAGCAAGGGCTTAAATGAAAGAGGCAGCCAGGGGCCAGAGGGACGATTTGAGGCCCCTTGTGAGGCAGGAGCCCACTGCATTTGCTGACAGGGCAGACGTGGGGGTGGGAGAGGCAAGGAGGCAAGAGGGCCTCCCAGGTTCCGGTGTAGACAATGGAGTGGCCAGGAGGCCCTCCCCCAGGTGGGGACACCAGGTGGATAGAAGGAGTGGGAAGGAGGGGGACACCAAGAGTTCTTGTTTCGGGGAATTCCTCTGGCTGGGATGGAGACTGCTGTTCTGGTGGGAATGAAGAAGAAGGGCCAGCCTGGGGCAGGACAAGTCCACAGGGGTCCTCATCACTCTCCTCCATATGCGGGCCAGCTCTAGCGCCCTCCCACCAGGGTTACTACAGCCTGGCCTTGGCCCCAAACTTGAAATAGACCAAGTGATCGCAGCCAGCAAGGACAACTTCCCAGGGTGAAGCTGCCTGGAGGGGAGAAATCAATTAAAATCCACCTGCCTTGGCTGAGGACATGGGTCAGGAAGCAGGCACCAAGCAAACAGTAATAAACTCGGCAGTATTAAAATTCAAATAAAGTGGGATTCTGCAAATAGCACCAACCAAAGCTGTAGCTTCTTGGGGCATGCCAGCAGAATGATGGGGGCTTAGGAAAAGGAAGAAAAGCAAAGCTCAATGGATGAGCATCCTCAGGTTAGTTAAGGGAAAGGCCATAAGGAAATAGAGATGAACCTTTGTTCTCTATAATATTTTCAGACCATTTCTCATATAGCCACAGATATATCATGGGGCTTATTTTTACTTGAAACATTTCACAAAGAAATGGAATTTTCCATAACTACGATGGTGTAAGAGAGCTCGGCAAGTAATAAAAGAGCTGTGGGAGAGGATATAATGTGGAGTAGCAGCCGTCCAAAGTCATACCAGAAACTTCTCTCAAAGAAGTTTTAGTGACGACAAAGAAAAAGAAAAGGTTCAAACAGCTACAGGAGAACTAAAGGAGGCCTACAAAGGACAAGAGTTGGCATTAAGTGACAGGGAGAGTAGCCCATTGCCAAGACTCTGAATGAACTTTTTGTTTCTGAATCTACATGCTAAAGGTCACCATTCAGCAGCCAACAGAACAAGTGTTCTATAAGGAATGTGAAGTATGAGAACACTTTTAAGAGGCTACC